GGTCTCAGATCTGCTGTATACTTGCAGCAAAGGAGAGGAGCTTCTGTGCATCCCTCAGGACCGCCCGCTGAGGACACTCATGATGTCTGAGTGTCATGATGCGCGCGGCCACTTTGGGGCCTTAAAGTCGTTGGCTGCCCTGTCGCAGTGGTTCTTCTGGCCAGAGATGAGGAAAGACATGCAGCACTACGTTGAAACCTGTGAGTTGTGCAAAAGGAACAAGGTCGTTCGCCGACCTCCCCTTGGCCTGTTACAACCACTTCCCATTCCTGAGGCACCTGCACAGTCAGTGTCTATTGATTTCACTGATCTAGGGAGGACTACCCCTCGTGGTATGCGTCAGGCTATGGTGTGTGTTGACAGGTTCTCTAAGTATGCAGAGTTTATTCCTCTGCCAGAGGAAGCCAGAGTCCCGGCCGTACAAGCGGCCTTTGCTGACAGGTGGGTCACTCATCATGGACCACCTACCTCTATTGTCAGTGATAGGGATCCGCGGTTCTGCAGCAATGAATGGCAGTCCTATTGCAAGGACTACCTTCATTCCAGGCTGAACATGACATCTGGTCATCATCCTGAAGCCAATGGGCAGGCTGAAGTGATGAACCAGATTCTGTTTCAGTTGTTGCGTCCTATGATCACCCCTGATCAGCAGGATTGGGATCTCCATCTAGGGCGGGCACAGCTAGTGTACAACACGTCTGTACACTCCTCCACAGGGTTCACCCCTTACCGGTTGCACTGGGGACGTGAACCACGGCAGCCTCTCGATGACATCATCGACAAGGCTACCCCCAGACTGACTCCTGGGACTGCAGAGTTCACCAGACAGTACCAGAGGGATATTGAACGAGCCAGAGTTAACCTGCTCAAAGCCCAAAAGGCTATGATTCAGCAAAGCATCGTCGACCACCCCCATTTGCGTTGGTGACTGGGTCTGGGTACTCAGTTCTGAGCTTTCGCGGGAGGAGGACATTTCGCCTAAGCTGTTGCCGCGTTACATGGGTCCATGGCAGGTTTTACATACAGTGGGGGCTGACCCTTTTGGACCATCCTATCATGTAGATGTCCCACTGCACCTACAAACCTACCCTGTCTTCCATGCATCTAAGCTGCTGCCTTTTACGCCAGCTGATGCCTCCTAGACAGGCCTCCACAATTTGGTCCCCCGATCCCTGGGAAGGGATATGAGGTGGAAGAAGTTGTGGAGCCGACGGCGCCTACCGTCGGCTGGTCGGCAGCCGACGGGTCCGGGGCCGCCTACCGTAGGCGTGACTACCCTGCAGAAGATTCATTTTACTAATATTATATACATTTGGTGAGTGGTGGAGGGAGCTCTAGTTTTTTTGTTTTTGTTTTCTTACGAATACGTACAGTGGGGCCTGCTCCACTACTCACCAGATGCACAAAAGACATAGCATATGGCGGTGTATGGTTCCATGTTTTAGCAGAAGATTCATTCTACTAATATTGTATACATTTGGTGAGTGGTGGAGGGAGGCCCTGAGAATCACATGGAGACACGAACAGGCTCTAGCTGAATTGGTGGCCCATAACTGCCGAGCTACAGCCTTGTGCAAGGAAAATGAGCGATAGCGAACTTCAGAAATCAAACCACATCATACCCATGAGACCAGATAGTCGTGACCTCGAACCAACAGCAATTCAGAATGACCTCGAACCAACAGCAATTCAGAATTGCATCACGAGTTTCACCAAATAAGAGCACAGCAGAAGCTCATAATTGACAATGCTGGAATAGTCTCATCATCACCAGCGGAGAACCAATGTCAATATCCTATCTGGCGCTCGGCGCCCAGACTACAGATGGCAGATCCTATCTAGCCTATCAACAATGCCGCTGATGACGTCAACAGCTCCCCGAAGTACGAGCAGATCTCGGCCAATGCCGTTCGCCTCAAGCACCAGGTATTTCTCTCGTATCACTCACAACCTCGATCCCCAACTCACAGATGCCACATGCACCCAAGAACCACCATGCGCCCCATCCAGCATACAGCAGCGCAGCTCGGCTATGGCTGCTTGCTCCTTCCAGCTCGCCCGTGAGCGCGTGAGGGCTGGCCAGCGTTAGCGCAGCATGCAGCCAGTGCCCGAATGCCAAGTGCGGAGGCAGGCCCTTTCCTAAATGGTAGTGGCCTGCCTGCTGCTGCGGCTAGGCTGCGCTCGTCCCTCACCCGGAAGCTTCCGGTAGGCCCGACTGGATGAGCCCCAGTCCATCCAGAACAGGCCCAGGGCCTGAGTCAGTTGCCCGTACCCAACTGCCCACAGCCTGTGTTCGGTCCGTATATGCGTCTGGCCCAGGGCATACTTCAGATACATTTGCAAAATGGACGCCTGGGCCTGGGCGATTGTAACCAACTGACGCAGCACAACTGTCTGAATTTCCCCAGTTGCGTTGAGGCCTGAAGAAAGGGGGCCCTAAGGCCCTGGTCGAGCCTGCCTTCACTTAGGGCAGCCGACAACACTGCAAACAGGGCCAAAGTCGCTAATCGGGGCCTTAGGCCTCACACTTGAACTTGAATCCAAAGCATATGTTGGTGGTCTGCCCCACCTCTTCCACAGATGATGATACCATCCTCCTAATTGAAGCAGTGGCCCTCGATGACTCCACATGTGACGTAGGAGTCACTCGAGGTACCTGCAGGGCCCCTCGAATTGACGTGAAGGGGACCCTTTGTTCTCTCTCTCCCTCTCTCTCTCTCTCTCTCTCTCTCTCTCGGGGGCGTGTTCTTTTTTTTTTTTTTTATCGCGCACAGGGCGCCTCTCTCAGCGCGAGCACAGCGGACCGCACTGCACAGTGCGCGCACTGTCATTCCAGCGCACGGCGCAGTGCGCACCGCCCCGCACCGCAATGCGCACTGGTGCGCTGCAACGATGGTTGAAATAGATGCCTGAGTTCGAATTCAGCAGCAGCTAGCCTAGCTCAGTTGGTACACCCATGAACTATTGAAATGCACACCTGAGTTTGAATCCAGATGGGACAATCAGCCAAAATCACAGTGAAAGCCAGATAGTCGAAAGCTGTCCAGAAAGCAGATATGCACTGATGTCACAGATAAGGAGAACCAAAGCAGCGAGCTCAATTGTCAATGGAAGCATAATCTCACCACCACCAACAATGCAATCGAAGCTCTTCTCCTAATGGCGCTCAGCGCCCAGACTACTATCCTACAGCTATCCTACCAGCCTACGAAATGACGAAGCAAGCAAGACCAGGTACGTGCTCTCACATCACTTCCTCACTCACCCCTCACCCTCGAGTAAATCACCCACGTCTTCCCTTCACCCGAAGCCCTTCACCATACCCTGCTGACCTTAGTCCAAGCTTTCCCGGCTATGGGGGCCAAGCTATGGTGCTGCCTTCCAGCAGCGCCCTCGTCCTCTCTCGACCTCGCTAGTGTTCTTGCACCTCCAGCGCGAGCATGCAGGCGTGAACACACGCTCCAGCAGCGCTGCCGCTTGCACTCGCAAGTGCCCGAAAACACCTCCAATGGCGAGCTCTTTCCTGAATGGAAAGTGCACGCCCGCTTTGCTGCCGGGTTGGGCCTCGGGTGTGCTTCCAGTTGGTCCAGATTGTCTGCGCCCAGGCCCATTCAGACAGTGGCCTGGGACCAAATTGGTTAGGCATGCCCAACCACCCAGTCGCAAGCGTGCGGTGTGTTCCCTGCTTCCTCCGCGTGGCTGGAAGAGCCTAGAAGGCTCACAAATATTTCTGATTCTCATGAGCAGGACGGATGCAACCAGCTGGCGCGGGGCGACTGTCTGGCGCCCACGAATTCAGGCCACATTGAGATTCAGGGGCCCGCCTTCACCTAGGGCGGGCACATGCTTGCGTATAGGGGCGGTATGCAGGTATGCCAGGGGTTCAAATCCTCGCATTACTGGATGTTGTGGGTGGTGTCAGAGGGCAGGACTCAGCACCTGTTCCCGGTGAGAGTGGGTATGGTGGATTAGCTTAAATATATAGGGCTTTTGCCTCGGAGGTGGGCCATTGAAGCCATGACAAAGAACCTGGGCTTTGTTATCCCAGTTGTGCATGTCCTTTGATTTTGGCACTATCAGCTCTTATGCTGCTGCTGCTCGTTGCCTTCTCTGTGTTTTCTTTGTTCTATATGTGTGATGATGATATGAATATGAAATGGTGGTGGTTGCATACCAGTGGCATGAGGTTTGATTGACGTTCACAAATTTCACTGAGGCTCTCATAACTGAGGGATGAGGTTTGATTGACGTTCACAAGTTTCACTGAGGAGGTTGCCTCTGAACCTCTACTTCACTGTGCTGCTGCCTCACTAGTCTGTGTAAGCTCATTTGGGGATATCCTCTGGGTCATAAACAAGAAGAATGGTCGTTACCTTGTGTCTCAACCTTTGTTCCAGGCTTGTCTCTATGACGTAGAGGATTTTTTATCTTGTTTTTGGTTTTTACGTGCTGTTTGCTAGGTCAAATTGCTTTTGTTGTAAGCCAATGAACTGCAGAATCTTTGTGTGCACCATCGAGGTCTGCTGTGTTTTTCTGGTGTTTAACTTCCTTGCTCCAGCAATATTGCAAGCGGTACCATGTGCAGAATGTGAGGTGGCTGATGGCATCGCATGCGCAGAAAGTGCCAGAAACCCTTGGTGAATGGCCTTGCTGCCAAGACCCCGGTAGATACTGATGCTGGAGCTCGGGATTTTTTCTTTTTTCTAAAATCTGGATTCGAAATTGAGCCTATATTTCAACAGTTTTGTGGGTGCACCTCGGAGTTCGGGAATTCGTTTGAGGGCTCACACTTTCTACGACTACTGGATACGCCTGAGTGTTACAATGGCCACGGTCAGGCAAAGAGGGTGATGGGGGGGGTATCCCTCAGTATGTTTGCACTTTAGAGTCAAGTTGGCAGCAAACTAGGTGATGCATTTGGGAGTGAGGCTGGTTGCCAAACATGCCAAGCAATGGTGTTGAAGTCACATACTGATTTTAGAGGTACCAATGGTTTGCAGAGACACTGGTGTCACATGTTCCGGGGCTTGACAGATGAGCGTGGTCCTTGGGCGCCAGGGCCTTCGCCAGGTGACCCACCTCTCCGATGGAAGCTGGATAAGACAGAAGACCCTTGGAGGAGGAGAATGAGGCTGAAGAGGAATTACCACTTTGATGAGAACTTGGTTGCACCTACGAATCCTTTGCCTCCTTTGAAGAAGCCACATTCTGAAGGTGATCAAGATGAAGGAGCTGGAGAAAAGGAGTCGTCAGAGCCAGCAGGAGGTGGGATTAGACATGTGCTTTTGACCGGTCTGATGGGAGTCAAACAAAAAGGGGTTGTGGAAGTGTCAGGTACAGACGATCCAAGTGGGAAGGGGGATTTTGGAGAGGCAGAGGTGGATAATGCGGCATTGGTCGCTGGTGCAGGGGCTGCAGTAATGGCAGCAGCTAATGATGAGCTTGAGAAGAGGCAGCAGAGTGGGTCAGGGGCAGAAACTTCCGGTTCCTCTTTGGAAGATGACAAGGTGAGTATGCTGGCTGTTGAGTGTGATTGTTTAATTTGCGTTTATTACGTACACATGAGGTGGTTTTGCACCATCTTTGTTAATATGTTTATATGACTGGTAGCATTGTTGCAATACCTGTCCATTAGTCAGTGGTTTGCCAGGCAGAATCACACCTTCACACGGGGTAGACTATTCTGCACATCAGCCCAGGCCGAGGATGTCTTCCCGAACGCCTCATGTCACATAAGCCCTAACTCTTTTCAGCAATTTTTGAAAAGTAGGTTGTGTGGGGGGGGAGCCAAACCAGACCTCTCAGCCTCATGCAGATCTTGTTGTTTCTGTGCTTCGGAGTTTGTATTTTGATCACAGGTATTATCTTGTCTACGTGTTACCTCGTCTATCTGTGTAGTCAAATCGTGTGTTGAAAATAGCTGTTAGAATGAGTCCAAAAAGCTGCACCTATGTGCTTATGGTACAATTTGAGCTGACATGAACCTTTTGGGTTGCGGATGGGCAGGGAAAGTGCCGATAGAACCACTGCGTTATTGCAGCCTTTGGCCTGGTAGGCATATCAGGAAACTGGTTTGTTCCTATTTCCATTGGAGCGCATGATATGACCTTTCCAGGACTAGACAATATCAGTTTTTGGTAATTACCGTCATTATTATTACTTTTCTAAGTTCTGCTATAGTCTTGCGACCGTTATGGTACACGGGGATGGGGGCAGCTCGCGCTCAACTTCATCAATGTGGCGAGCCTTGTACGTGAGAGGCACGGTGAAAGGGGAGTTAAAAGAAGAATGAGAAAAATGAATGGTTTCAGTGTGCCCTTCATGTTTGTCTTGTTTTTTTATTTTTTTTGTTTCTGCCGTTTGTTTCGCAAAGTGCGCTCTTTTAGTTCATCTCTCCTCCTTGCGTTTATCCCCTCCCCCTTCACTCTGCCTCTTTCTCACAGCATACAAGTGGACCGTTATGGTACACAGGGATGGGGGCAGCTCGCGCTCAACTTCATCAACGTGGCGAGCCTTGTACGTGAGAGGCACGGTGAAGGGGGAGTTAAAAGAAGAATGAGAAAAATGAATGGTTTCAATGTGCCCTTTACGATTGTCTTGTTTTTTATTTTTTTTGTTTCTGCCGCTTGTTTCGCAAAGTGCGCTCTGCAAGGAAAATGAACAGAAGTGAGATGACAATATTCAAATTGCACAATCACATTGAAAGCCAAAGTAACACAGTGTTCAGGAAGCAGCATTGCACCAATATAACACCAATGGAGAATCGTAGCACTGAAAGTCAATGTCAATGAGAGCTTGCTCTCGCCACCAGCAACATATGTATCCAGTCTCTATCTCCCTACCTGGCACTTGGCGCCCAGCCTACTGCCTACACAGCTACTACTAGCCTACTATTTGACAATGCAACTGTTGACGTCAGCAGCACCCGAAGTACTTGAAGATGTCGCCCATGCAGAACCATCGCCAATACCAGGTATGTGCCCTCACATCATCATCATCATCATCCTTCTCTCCCCCCCTTGACTCACTCCCACGTCTCCCTTTGTTGTACACCCGAAGACCACCCCTGAGCCTCACTGTATGTCCAAGCCCACAGCTAGCTATGGAGGCTGGGCTATGGCGCTGCCCTCAGCAGCGCCCTGCTTCACCACACGACCACACGTGCGCAGCCTCTTGCTCCAATGCCAGCAGCCAGCACACGAGCTATCGCTCCAGCAGCGCTGCCACCAGCCAGCAAGTGCCCTAATGAGGCTGGCCAGGGAGAGCTCTTTCCTATATGGAAAGAGCTGGCCAGCTCGCGCAGCCTGGCTGGGCTGGGCCTGGGCCCAGAAACTTCCGGTAGGCCCCAGGATGCTGCGCTTGTGTGCAGCTACTGGGCCTCTTGCGGTTGGGCCTCCCAACTGTCAGTGTATGATGCTGCGATTCTCGCCCAGGGCCTGCATTCTTTGGAAAAGCCCAGAAGGCCGTGGAAATGTCTTTGTTGCTCGGCCTGGGTTTCTCTCAACCAACTGACGCGTCGCAACTGCCTGGACCCCAAATATGAATTTGACAGCCGAGGGCCTCTTGTGATATGTTAGGCCCGCCTTCACTTAGGGCGGGCACTCTTGCAACAGGGGCCCCTCAGGCCTGCCGAGGACCCAGATCCTCGCAGCTCTTTTACTTCATAGTTGCGTGACAATATATATGTGAGTGATAGTCTGCTTTGACTTTTGCCACAGGTACCTTGAGGGCAGTGGTTGGTGGTGCCCACCTCAGGGTATCAGTTGTCGGGCAGTCGTTGATGCTTCACCACAGCCGGGGTTAAGGTGGATTATCACTTACAGTGTAATCAGTTAGGGGATTCTGCAGACTGTTGAGGGTTCAGCCTCCTGATGAGTCGGTGAAACTCCGACAAAACAGTTTGCCACAGCCCCTCGTTTGTTGTCCTCTTCTCCCTCTCTGCCTACGGTTTACCGGGCAGCTCTGTTTGACTATATATACCATGACTTTGCTAGCACCCTGCTACGGTATTCTCCGGTCAGGTTGAGCGGCAGTGGTCGGGGCCGTCACTACGCGGCCATGCTGTGCCTCTAGCGCTGGAGTGTATTTTTTGGCTGTGACAAACCTTTCTTTGTTTCGTGGGTGTTTTGCTTGCTTGTGATGGGGTGTGAACCGACAGTCTGTAGAGTTTTCCATCTGTGTGGGTGAGTGATAGTCTGCTTTGACTTTTGCCACAGGTACCTTGAGGGCAGTGGTTGGTGCCCACCTCAAGGTATCAGTTGTCGGGCAGTCGTTGATGCTTAACCACAGCCGGCGTTATGTCGGATTATCACTTACAGTGTAATGAGTTAGGGGATTCTGCAGACTGTTGAGGGTTCAGCCTCCTGATGAGTCGGGGAAACTTCGACGAAACAGTTTGCCACAGCCCCTCGTTTGTTGTCCTCTTCTCCCTCTCTGCCTACGGTTTACCGGGCAGCTCTGTTTGACTATATATATATATATATTTTGTTGTCCTCTTCTCTCTCTCTGCCTACGGTTTACCGGGCAGTTCTGTTTGTGACGATCTATATATTCAGCCTCCTGATGAGTCGGTGAAACTCCGACGAAATAGTTTGTCACAGCCCCTCGTTTGTTGTCCTCTTCTCCCTCTCTGCCTACGGTTTACCGGGCAGTTCTATTTGACGATATATATGACAATGTATATATTATGTTTGCAACACCACTACTCCTCTTGTTGTGTATCACCAACGACATTTGCGGCATCGTCACTTGTCCGGGGATCAGCAACCTGGTTCTTTGTCTGCTCCGATTCAAACGGCAATATCCGCTCCTATGCCTCCTGCAGACAGTCCAGCTGCCTGCAGGCAGCCACGGTACCCTGCGGAGTTAGATGTTCACGACTCACCTGTACAACACGATGTGGTCCCTGCCCAGAGTACACTCCCGACTGCAGGTACGGTCCCTACTCAGGATGCAGCCGCTGCCCAGAGTACAGCCCCTACTCAGAATGCAGCCCTAAACGTTGAGGGATTGGAACATGATCTGCCCGGATTGCAGTTGACCCCACAAGGCGTAGACCACATGGGGGATCTGCAAATGGCTGACCAGCGTTGTTCGGACGAACCACAATGTTGTGCTCCGCCACGCGCAGACCACATGGGTGATCTGCAAATGACTGACCAGCAAACAACCAAACACAGTTCGGGCTTGCAACACCATCTGGGTGATCTGCAAATTGTCGGCCAGCATCCAACAAACCAGCCAGAGAACCTCACCAATCTCTGTGGTCTAATGGCAACTAATATTTGTCTTCACATTCTCCACCGCCCGTTTTATACACCATCAGACTTCCTTGCAATCGGCTTTCAGCTTGATGCTGATCTTCCCCAACTACAGCCAGAGGATTGTAATTATACTCCCGAATTACAGCCAGAGGATTGTAATTATACCAGCGAAGGAGGCCTTACCATTGCTGTCCTACGAGCAGGTGAGTGGTTTCTGCATCCATGTTTGCAGAGGACTGTCTCTCCGTTCCTGACTGCAGGCACCCTCCGCATCCGAACACTATGTCCATTTTGCGGCCATGGGCGCTATACTGAATGCATGGTCTTTTGTGGTGACCGTTCTTCCTTCATTTTGGCTTGCAATCGACATGCCATTTGTCGGCGTTGCATGGTGGGCATGCTCAATTCTAGCCGTCGTGCCAATTGTTGCACTGAGAATGCTCAGCTAGGTTTTCCATGTGTTCATCCACCTCATCCTTACAATGTATGTCCTCTCTGTCGTCAAGAACACACTCATTCTTGAGCCTTTTCTTATCCTCTTTTGCCTTCATCTTCACTCCACACTCCATACTTTCCCTCTTCTTTTTTTTTTCCTTGTCTTTTTTTTTTATCATTGAGAACATTTGAGGTCGTTTGAGGTCATTTGAGATATACCGAGGCCATTACCCGGCTTCGGCTGAGAACAATCTGTGAACACGATGAGATTCAGAAACATGGGGAGGATCCCGAGTATCTAATGACCTATTAGGGAATTACTCATGCAATAACCTGCCTCAGAGGTCCTATGAATGCTCACTACCCTCAAGTTTCCTGACAAACCCTTCTAAGACTTCCCAACACCGTCTTACTCCCTGCTGAGCTCTTCTAGGCCTCATGCCCCCACCTTGCTGGGTTACAGGGCAACACAACTCGCCCCAGCTCCGACCAGCGTCATCCCAACAGCAACCCTTGGTCGTCCCTTGGGATGCCCACCCCAAAGCATCCCCAGATCTCTCTACCAGGCCTCACGCTCCTGCATCAGCAGGTTACAGGGCAACACCCCAGCACCGACCAACGTCGTTCTGGCATCGAACGGCCACATATCACTGAGTATAACAACATCGAAACCGCCGATGGATTGCTAAGAAACCCTAAAGTCCTAAGACATTCATAAGAACAACCAACTTTTTTTCATTCAGACTCTATCAAGTCGATAGAATATGTGTGTCAAAAAGCCTCCCCGTCACAAATCAGATAGGTGAAAC